ATATATATAAAATTGATTTTTTTACAGAGAGGAAAGGAGAAGGATAGAGAGTCAGAAACATTGACAAGAGAGAAACTTCTATCAGCTGCCTCCTACACACACCTCACTGGGGATGTGGTTGCAACCAAGGTACATGCCCCTAACCGAAATCAAACCTGGGACCCTTCAGTCCACAGGCTGATGCTCTATCCATTGAGCCAAACCAGTCAGGGTGGTACAATCTCTTTTTTTTTTTTTCCTTTGGCTTTCCTGATATCCTCCTGTTCTCATTTTCTTCCTCCTGTTCTCATTTTCTTCCTGTCTTTCCAGCCCCTCCTTGGCCAGCTTCTCTTTTGCCCCATCCTTAAATCAGGGAGTTTTCAGGGCTCTGTCCTAGGCCTTCCTTTTCTTTCTACATGTTGTTCCTGGGTGATCTTTTTCCACTTTGGGAACTTAGGTTGACAATTTTACAGGGACACCACCAAGCCTATATCTCTAGTATGTTTCATGCCTAGGTAGTTCACACTCCCTGTCTCCACTCAAACTTTTTTTTTTTTTTATATATTTTATTGATTTTTTACAGAGAGGAAGGGAGAGAGAGAGAGAGCTAGAAATGTCGATGAGTGAGAAACATCGACCAGCTGCCTCTTGCACACCCCCTACCGGGGATGTGCCCGCAACCAATGCACATGCCCTTGACCGGAATCGAACCTGGGACCTTTCAGTCCGCAGACCGACGCTCTACCACTGAGCCAAACCGGGTTCGGCTCCACTCAAACTTGATGTGTCCAAAGCAGACCTTCTCTCAGACCTGCTCTTCCCGGGTTTCTTATCTAGTTACAAGCTTCTTCATCAGTTGTTCAAGCCTGACCTCTGGAAGTAATCCTTGGGTTTTCCCTTTTTTGTATTCTAATCAATCACCAATGGCCTGCCTTACACTTCCAGTTTAGGGATTTCCCTCCCCCTTTTTCCTGGGATTCCCTCCACTGCTCTCTTATTGTGGATCTTGTTCTGGGTCTCTCTTCCTCTGGCATGGCTTACTCCTTCATTGGGGATCAAGTCCTCCTCCAGGGGCTTCCTTAGAAAAAGATACATAGGAAGTAATTGTTAGAGACTATGTCTGAAAATGTTTTTTATTCTAACCTAATATTTTATTGGGAATGTAGCCAGGCCTAGAATTCTAGTTTAGAAATAATTTTCCCTCAGAAGTTTGAAGGCATTGGTCCATTGTCTTTCAGTCTTTAGAGTTACTGTTGAGATAGAGGTCCAGGGTCCCTCTAATTTTTTAATTCATCCTTTCTCTGAAACCTGAGTCTTTTGTGGATTCTGATATAAATGGACTGTGCCTTGGCTCAGTTTTATTGTCCATATTCCTTCCAGCTTCCAAACTCATTGCTCTTGTGTTCTCTCTCATCATTTTATGTTCTTGGATTATTTTTCATTTGGATTGTTTATTTCTTATTTATTATTTTACAAGGGTTTTCAGTAGGAATATGTTTTAAGTATTAGAAATATTTTTCATATCATTTCTCTTTCTTTTTGGTATCTTCTGCTGTACAGAAGTTTCTAATTTTTGTACTCAAAATTTTCAAGTTACTTCTTTATGGTTTCATGGTTTTAAGTCATAAAGACCTTCTTTATCCCAAAATATTCTACTTTTTCTTCTAGGATTTTATTTTTTAAATATTTAAATCTTTAATAAACTCAGGGTTTTTATTCATTTTTGAAAGCCACTTGTCCTAACATTATCCTTTTATGTAGTCTCTAAATTCAAGGAAGATACACTAAAAAGGATGTCAATGTCACTATTATAATCATTCTCTGATTATGAATTCCTCCCAAGATGCACTTAGAGAAATGTATATAAGTACAATATTGGATAGTTTTAGTTGAATTTTTTATTTAACTGTGCATTTGAATTAGTTTGATATAGCAAATGAAGAACCTTATTTCCAAGTGGAGGAACACTTTAAAAAAAATTAATGAGAGAAGGGGAGGTGGGGAGGAGAGAAAGAGAGAGAGAGAGAGAGAGAGAGAGAGAGAGAGAGAGAGAGAGAGAGAGAAACATCATTTGTTGCTTCCCACACAGGATGCTGTTCCAACCAACGGAGACCCATTGGTCAGAGCAGAAAATGTTCTTTAAAGGAAATGTGTACAGGTAAATCATATGTATTGATCAGACAAAAAGGTAACAGTTGTTTTGTTTTGTTTTTTTCCCACCCAGGCCTCTACCCTGGTTTGATCTGACTGCTGTGCAACTGAGGGACACTCCCTTTAGCGCAAAGCTCTTAACCTGGACTAGTCTCCAGGACCACATTATCCAGTTCTACTGTAGTGAGTTTGGCTTCTCCTTAACCAAAGAACAACAGTCAGAGGTTTCCACAAGCTCTATATTCTAATAAGAGAAGACAGTGCAGGACTCAGGATTCTTCCTCTCTCTACAATGGTCATACCCAGATCATCACAGCTGACAGTGGGGACTCATGGAACTGTTTGCCAACAGTTAGGCATGAAGAAATTAGAAAATGGTATTGACGGCTCTTTATAATGTAGATTAAAATAAGAGGTCCTTTACATTGGTATATATGTGTGTATCTGTGAAACTACATAACCCAACTACACAGTAAGCTGCTTCCCCATGAGAGCCTTGTTAATACAAATTATCTCTCTTCTAAAAGCTAAATTTAAGAAGATATAAGGTCATTATTAACTTCTTTTCCTATAGTGGTATATAGCTGACAAGTGATACAGCTTCACTTTGCTACCATTTAAAATTTTTTTTTATTGATTTTAACAGAGAGGAAGGGAGAGAGATAGCCAGAAACATCGATGAGAGAGAAACATCGACTAGCTGCCTCTTGCACACCCCCCACCAGGGATGCACCCGCAACCAAGGCACATGCCCCTGACAGGAATCAAACCCCGGACCCCCCAGTCTGCAAACCCACGCTCTACCACTGAGCCAAACGGGCTTAAGCGCTCTTTGCTACCGTTTTAGATAGAGAAGTAAAATGTGTGGTAAACATCTTAACTGTGACTCATTTCATGCTTATTTCATCTATATGTGACTGTTTTGGTACTATCTTATTTAAAAAGCTGTTCCCACTTAAAAGCATTTTTAACCATACAACCATACATACTTTTTTTTTAAAAAAAAAAATAGCTAGTGTTTATATTAAGTGGCTAAAAGTAATTTTGTATAATAGTTATCTTATTTCTATAGTGCAAGTTTATGCTGCAAATACTTTATGTCAATTATAATACAGCAGGAAAGAGCAGCAGTGACCACCAAGTGGAGAAAGAGGGACAGAACCATTGTGTGCCAACTGCTAAAGTGCTTTTGAATAAAGCTATTCACTCCATAAGTAAATCACCATGGCCCTACCTCAGTCATTCACACTTTTCTTTTTTGCATGATTATGAGTCAGGCAAATCAATGGCATTGAAAATGTTGTTAGTCCAATTTGGGGGAAAATTAGGCTCATCACTAAATATATATATATATTTAAAATATATCTTTATTGATTTCAGAGAGGAAGGGGGAGGTAGAGAGAGATAGAAACATCAATGATGATAGAGAATCATTGATTGGCTGCCTCCTACTGGGGATTAAGCCTGCAACCCTGGCATGTGTCCTTGTCTGGAATTGAACCTGGGACCTTTCAGTCCACAGGCTGACACTCTATCACTGAGCCAAACCGGCTAGTGCTCATCGCTAAATATTAACATTCGCTGGGACCGGTTTGGCTCAATGGATAGAGCGTTGGCTTGGGGACTGAAGGGTCCCGGGTTCGATTCCGGTCAAGGGCATGTACCTTGGTTGCGGGCATATCCCCAGTAGGGGGTGTGCAAGAGGCAGCTGGTCGATGTTTCTCTCTCATCGATGTTTCTAACTCTCTCTCTCCCTTCCTCTCTGTATAAAAATCAATAAAGTATATTTTTAAATATTAACATTCTCTTGAATGCTAAATTTAAAGCACTGTTCCTTCTCTCAGGAGGAAAAAAAGAAAAAGAAATGTATTCTTTTGACCATTCAGGTGTGGGGAACTGGACAGGATACTTCATTGCCATTCTGGATTATGGTGGCCCTTTAGTGGTTTTTAGGAGTAAGAAGTGAAACTGGGGGGGGGGGGGGGGGGGGGGAAGAGCAGTTAAATCTATAAAAGTAGAGAGGAACTAGAGTTATTCAAGTGGCAAAGCATTTTGTAATTTCTTTTGAGCAGTCCAATCATGGGTAGACTCTGCCCTGAATTTCATTTTATAAAGGACTAGCAGGTACCACATAAAAGAGCCTTTAAACAAACCTCAGCCCCTAATTCATAAGGGTGCTTCCATAGCCATGCTGTTTGTAAGGATAAATGCAAATCTAAGAGGTTTTAAAAAATATTTCTCTGATGCTGAAAGGGAAAGAGCTTTCCCTTTCCTTTTTCTTAAGATATTTTCTTTAGAAAAATTGTAATATATATCCCTTTTCTCTGTTTTTGAGATGTATATAAATATTTTAAGAAGCTGAATAAGCCTTCTGACAGTTTTATATCCCAGGACTGATTTTCTGAGGGGCTTTGGAGCCACCTCTGAAATGTAAGCACCTGGTCTCCCTGAATCTGTGGGAGTTCAGCCTAGTGCCTGGCTCCAAGTAATAACTTCCTGTTTGACATGGAGATGTGAGATACAGTTAACATGTATGCAATGTGTGCCTGGCTATATAAAAGAATGAGATTTCTTTGTCTTTTCAATCTCTTTAGCAGCTTGCCTGATACGCATCACAGTCTGATTTAATACTCATTTAATAATACAATTTTATTTTTAAAAAATACATTGTTTATTGATTTCAGAGAGGAAAGGTGAGGGAGAGAAACATCAATGATGAGAGAGAATCACTGATCGACTGCCTCCTGCATTCCCCCTGTAACCTGGGGCATGTGTCCTGACCGGCTATTTAACCGTGACCTCTTGATTCATGGGTCCATGTTCAACCAGGGAGCCATGCCAGCTGGGGCAAAATTCTTTCTTTTCTTTTTAATTGATTTTTATTTTATTTATTTATTTATTAGAGAGAGGAAGGGGATGGGGGAGGTGCAGAAGGACATGAATTTGTTTAGGCATTCATTGATTGATTCTTGTATGAACCCTGGCTGGGAAACAAACTGATAACCCTGGTGTATTGGGGCTATGCTTGAGTTTAACCAACTGACCTACTGGGCCAGGCCACTATCTTTGTTTTAACGACATGCTAAATTGAAACAGAAATACAGGAATGTGCTGCGAGTTGGTGACAGAACTAGGAATAGTGCCAGGAGTTCTACTCTGATCCTTAATGAGGAGGAGAAAAAGAAAACCCAAAAAGACCACACTTCTTCCACCAAGTAATTTAGTTTGATCTTTCAAGCTAAGTGGAATGGCTTTTCTCTGGGGCTCAGTGTAATAGAATGCCTAATACTCCTCAGGGGCGGTTATTTGTGGCTCATAATCTTGTAATCCTGCTGTTTGCACAAATTCAGAATAGGTCAAGGAATCAGATTTTTCCCCAGAATGACCTTTTTGTTCTAAAAATAAGCCAATATTGTCCCTATAGGGAAGACGGATGGAGCGTTGAAATAATGGTTCTTCAAATCCCAGTAGTTCCCGTGTGTGCCGAGAAATTACCTGAAATACAAGGATAATTTTTTAATGGGACTAACCCGAAAATACAACTATATCAAAGCAGTTCTACTTATAATCATAGGCCTTTTGAATGCTAACCTTCTAAGCTATTTCTACGGGAAAATTAAGTAATAAAAAGGCTTAGTAGCCTGGCCTTATCAACACAAAGATCTTGAGACATGTAACATGATTTCTCTCTCTTCTTTTTTTTTTTTTTTTTTAAATATATTTTATTGATTTTTGTACAGAAAGGGAGAGAGATAGAGCATTAGAAACATCGATGAGAGAGTCATTGATCAGCTGCCTCTTACACACCCCCCATTGGGGGTATGGCCGTAACCAAGGTACATGCCCTTGACCGGAATCGAATTCGGGAACCTTCAGTCCCCAAGCCGACGCTCTATCTATTGAGCCAAACCGGTCTCGGCTGATTTCTCTTTTTAAAAATCCTATTTAAAGGTGTTTCTAGGCCCTTGCATCCGATGGCCACGGATGGGTTCATTTATTTCCTTTTGAGCAATCTGACCAACCATCTGAGTAAATAATATGTTCAGATTAAGAGCCCTGTTTCTGGGAAGGTTAATAAATAACTTGTCTATAGGGAGCTCAGTTAATCTGCAACTAAAAAAAAAAAATTATTCTGAAAATAGTTATTCAATATTTTTGACTAAAAGTAAATCTTAAATACTAAAAGCAGACATTGAAGTACCAGCTGTTTTATTAGTACCCATACTTGTAAAGTCTTTTAATACATCTTTTGCCATAATTTTTAGTGTTTCTAAAACATAATTCATTTTCACTGAGCACCATGCCACTTACTAGCCTAGGTCTAGCTGCCACTGCATTTTCTAATTTTAATCACAGGTCTGTTACTAACACTGATATTTGAATTTATATTCTGCATCTGGATGAGACTGTCACCCATGAAATTGCTGTTGGAACACAGCCAAAGGAGTATGTGGAATGGATTTTTTATTTCTTTGTTGTTGTTGTTGTTGTTTAGTTTAAAACCACTGGCCATAGTTATAAGACTGTAAAACTTATGTCACAGACAATTCTAAACCTGATACTAGACTGCCCATTAGCCATATATTGCAGATAGGAAAGGTAACTTTCTTCTCAAATCTTAACTTGAATTGGTTTTGTTTACACTCCAGAGATGGTTTGTGGGTAAAAGAGAGTTGCCTTGCATTTCCAGTGGGATTACTAATTAGGTCTGTAGCAAGGGATTCCTAAGAGTTCAAATCCAAATTACTACAGGTGGCTTTTAAGAATTCTTATTTATAACTGATATGCTAACATTGAGCACCTTGCTTGGTCAGCACCACATCCTGACTCTCCTTTTGAATGTCCCTTTTGAATACCAGAAGGAGTTATTTCACAAATTCACTGAAGTTTACAGAATTGGGCCTATTGTAGGCCACAAGGGTCCAGTATTGTTTAATATTCTAATGTAGAAATAAAGTGTGTTGTAAAGCCAATTGATTATATGTGGAATCAATAAATATAATCTGATCATCCCTCTAATTCAGTGATTCTTAAAGTATATCTGAGGTGTACTGATGGACCATGAGGGCTCCAAACTTAATCTAAAACTGAGTTCTTTCTTTAATTTTGATTAATAACAAACAATAGACTTTATTTTTGCCTAAGAATTAGAGCATTTTACTAGTAATTTGAGTTAGAAAGGATTATTAAAACTAGGTATTCAGGAAGATTAATATTAGAATTTTCCAAGGATTCTTAATTCCATATTCTAGGAACGGGGCCCATACTCAATGCTTGCAGAGCACCTACTTCACATGGTCTCAAGTTGGTATTTGTATCACCTTAGTTTTCAAGAAGATTCTAATTATTTCTATGTGAGTTGATCATGGTTTTCAAAGGATGCTAGTTTTGGTTTATTTGTAAACCACTGATAGTTTTGCTTCATCATTATCAATTTATTAGATGCTGCTTAGTTATTTTATAGTAGCAGTGCTCACTTGCTTAATTGAAACCAATGATTTATTTGTTGTTGTTGTTGTTGTTGTTGTTAAACCTCACCCGAGGATTTTTTCTCCACTGATTTTTTAGAGAGAATAGAAGGGAGGGGGAAGAGACAAAAAGAGTGAAACAATGATATATAAAAGACACATTGATTGGTTGCCTCTCATACATGCCCCAATTGGGGCCAGGGATCCAGTCTTCAGCCCCTGGGCCAACACTCCAACCACTGCCCAAACCAGCTAGGCCCCTGTGAGTTATCTTAATTAAACCTAAAGACATAATTGTTGTAATTCAAACATGAATCATCTATAGCACCATTATTAAAAAAAAAGGTGTATAGTTTCCTTAAAATCAGCTTGTTGATACATATAACAATGTGGATCAATTAAATACATTTTGCTAAAGGAAAGACGCTTAAGTCAAAGGCTACATACTATTTGATTCCATTTATGTGACATCCTCGAAAATTCAAAACTAAAGGGACAAAAACCAGATTAGTGGTTGCCAGGGACAGGAGGGATGAGCTGACCTCAGAGGGTATATGGAAAATATTAGGGAGATAGAATTGTTCTGGATACATGATCCTGTGTATTTGTCAAACTGTATACCATGAAAAGTGACTTTATGAAAAAAATTTTAAAGCATATTTTTATTGATTTTACACAGAAAGGAATGGGGGGGGGGGGGAGAGGGAAACATCAATGATGAGAGAGAACCATGGATCCACTGCCTCCTGCATGCTCTCTCCTGGGGATGGAGCCTGCAATCCAGGGCCCATATCAAACCCAGGACCCTTCAGTCCGCAGGCTGACACTTTATTCCCTGAGCCAAACTGGCTAGGGCTATGCAAGTTTTTAAGAACCCAGGATGTTGTGGTAACCCTGATGGCATATATGAATCAAATGAATCTAACTGTATTAAAAAGTAAGACAAAAATGCCATTTAAGGAGGTAGGAAAGAAAGAAAGATGACTCTGAAAAACATTGCTTTATCTATGTAGTGTAAAGCTAAGAATAAAACCACTGCACACAACACTGTACTCTATCTGATAAATGTGTTTCTCATAGGGATACATATTTACAGATAAGGGGAGCCAGCTTCTCACTGTCAGAGAAAGAAGTTATAAAAATCAAAGGGAAATAGGGAATAAGAAGGCTGGAAGGCTGGAATAAACCTTGTGGTACCGGACTAGAGTCATAAATATTAATCAGTATGAACTCATAGTGCCAAAAAGTACCAAAAAATGCAAGTAAAAATAGGGGAGCATGCAAAAGGACACAGAAGCCAATGTGAAAGAGTCCCAAAAAGGGAGAGAAGGGACAATTAAGCATTGGAGAGAGTTCTTTTTTTATTTAAATTTTTACTTATTGGAGAGAGAGAGAGAGGGGGGAGGGGAAAGAAAGACAGAGAGATGAAAGAGAGAAAGAGAGGGAGAGAGGGAGGGAGAGAGGAGCATTGATTTGTTATCCCACTTGTTTATGCATTCATGGATTGTTTCTTGTATGTGCCCTGACCAGGAACAAAACCACAGCCTTGGCGTTTCAGGACAATGCTCTAACCAGCTGAGCTACCCGAGCAGGACTTACAGAAGAGTTCCCTGAGAAGAATTCCAATTAAACATGGAAGGGCTCTAGCTGGTTTCACTCAGTGGATAGTGTGTTGGCCTGTGGACTGAAGGGTCCCCGATTGGATTGTTGCTGGCTTGCTACCCAGTAGAGGGCGTGCAGGAGGCAGCTGATCAATGATTCTGATCACTGATGTTTATATTTTTCTCCCTCTCCCTTTCTCTCTGAAATCAATAAAAATATATTTTTAGAAAACATAGAAGGAATGAGGGAAATAGAAAATAATCATTAGAACAACATAGTAGTAACTGCTGCAGGCAAGAGCCATTGATGAATGCTAAGTACAACTTGAAGGAGAAACAGGATATTGCCACAACCTCAAACTGTCTCCTCCAATATATTTATTACAGTGGTAGTTTTACTCTATGTCCATAAACTCTTTGATACTCTTCCCTTCAGGAAGTGGAGCTTAGTTCCCTTCTCTTTGAGTGTGGGCTGGATTCAGTAACTCACTTCTAATGAACAGAATATGAGAGGGAAACACAGTAACTTTACAGTGAAGAAACTTGGCAGATACCACCTGAACCCAGTGATCAAGATAAACATCTCCAATAATGAGTTGTGTTGATGTCATGTACTGCCTGAACTTATGAGACGAGAAGGGCCCTTCTGTGATATTTATTGATTTGTCATAGTCTTCCCCCCAAAGCATGGGAAACATGGGACAAACTAAAATGCCTGACAACTACTCTTTAAAGTGTCAAGATCATGTAAGACAAAGATGGATCAAGAAGCCCTCACCCATTAGAGGAGACCGAGGACGCATGACAGCTAAATGCAAGGTGGTATTCCTGATTGGGTTGTAGAACCACAACAAAAGGACATCAGTGGGAAAATTGCAGAAATATTAATAAAGTCTGTAGTTAGTAAAGTCTTCTCTACACATTTACCTTTTCTCTGTCATCCAAGTGTGTTGTAGGAAGGGCAAAGGGAAAGGTGAGTTATTTCTGCAGGTGAAGCATGAGTAATTGCAAAATTAAGGCAGTTGAAGAGATTAGAAACTGGCTCTAAATGAACTGTAAGACTTGTGAATGTGGCACATAGCTCAAATGTGGTTCCATTTCTTAGCAGCATGTTCAGCATTCTGTACCCTCAAGCAACCTGCTCTTCCCTCACTCCCCCACCTCTCCCAAAGCTCATGAGAGGGAGAGAGAGCATGAAAAAGAAAACTTCATTGCTTGGGCATTGTGGATGTACTTGGTACTATAATTACAACAGTTGGATAAAATATGCTTAGAATATCTATAAGGAAGGGAACTATGGCATAATTAAGTTCAGGGATGATCTCTAAAAGGTTGCCTGTGTCAGAGTGTATAATTAACTTTTCTATGTGGACCTAAGTGTCAAGTAATGCTTATCTAAAATATCTTTGAATGTCTTGATCTTCATGTTACTCTAGTGACGTCAAGGAGCAGCCACATTTGTCTGGTGACTTTAATAATGAATATTCCGAAGTTTGCTTATTCAAACTTCTTGGGATATTAAGAATAGATGACTGGTTTCATCACTTACTCAAGGATTTCAGAAGATTTTAAAGACCTCTTATTTCTTATAAGACCAGAAAAAACACAATTGGAATTTTCAACATTGCATGTTGATATTGTGTTTTTGGAATCAGAATGTCAAGGAGGCAAAATGAATCAGCAGACTCTTAAATAAACTTTCTATATATAGAAAACCCTAAGTGACCAGTCAACTGAACAAGTGAAGACCGTATGACTGTTTGACCTGTTGCTATGATGTGCACTGGCCACCAGGGGGCAGACACTCAATGCAGGAGCTGCCCCCTGGTGGTCAGTGCACTCCTACGGTGGGAGCACAGCTCAACTGACCAGTAGGTGCCAGATGCTGGGCTCATGGCTGGCAAGCATCGCTGCAGCTGCGTGAGTGGCAGCACTACTGAGCTGCGGTGGCAGCAGGCGCAGTGGGGACAGGATGAGTGGGAGTGGCATGGTACCCTCTGGTTTTGGGCTCCTCCCTGGCTGCCTGTCGTTTTGCACACTACTACATCCCTTGGGAATGTCAGACTGCTGGTTTCAGCCTACAGGGATCGGGCCAAAACTGGCAGTCAAAGGGTCCTGGATATGAGAGGGCACAGGCCAGGCTGAGGGACCCCACCCTTGCAAGAATCCATGCACCAGGCCTCTAGTTTCATGATAAAAAGCAAAATTTTTGGTACTTAATGTTTCAGGAATTTGGATTACAAGTTACTATTTTGATAATTTTGTTCTTTACTTTTATTTATAAAATTTAATATACTATAAACATAAGTAGGAATTAGAGATCATAAACGCAGTCACATCTTTAAACATAAAAAATAATAGGATGTATCTGGTAGCTCTTGGTAGCTATGTGACGGCATGGTAGGAAATACCAATTTGTCATAAGTGGTCCTTTTCTACATTATGAACATGAGATTCAGGTTATAAAATTTCTCATTTAGATTGTAGTTTAAGTAGAGTATGGATTGGGAAGTCACACAAAATAGATTTGAATCCTGGCTCTTAAATTTACTATCTTGTGCAAGTTGCTTCACTCTTCTGGGCCTCAGTTTTCTCTTATATAAAATGGGAATAAGTGGTATAATACTATATATATGGTGCCCAACACACAGTAAGCACTTAGAGAGGATAGTTATTAATAGAATTCAAGAGATTAAATGTTCAGTTAGAATTATGTGTTTAATAATTTAAAGGATTTCTTTATATCTTGTTGAAAAATGGGTTAGGTATTAAGTATAATTTTCTTATTTTCTAAATCATGTGACTGATGGAATTATATGGTTCTAAGGCCTGATCAAAAGTCACATAGGGAACAGATTCCAGGGTTTACCTTAGATGTAAAGAATCAAAATCTTGCCGAAACCGGTTTGGCTCAGTGGATAGAGCGTAGGCCTGCAGACTGAAAGGTCCCGGGTTTGATTCCGGTCAAGGGCATGTACCTTGGTTGCGGGCACATCCCCAGTGGGGGATGTGCACAGTGGGGGATGTGCAAGAGGCAGCTGATCAATGTCTCTCTCTCATTGATGTTTCTAACTATCTTTCTCTCTTCCTCTCTGTAAAAATCAATAAAATATATTAAAATAAAATAAAATTACCAACTGTATTAAAAAAAAAAAGAAAATCTCTGGAGTGTGGAGCTAGGAATCTTTTTTTTTTTTTTAATCTCACCTGATTTTTAAGACTATCTGAGTTTGAGAATTACCAAGGCAGAACCTTTTACAGGCAATATTTACTGAATGGAACCATGTGTATGTTGGGGAATATTAAAGGAAAGGACATAAATGAATTTATGTGTGTGAGGCTTTGTAAACTATCAAGCACTATAAATAAAGGGTACTGTTATGCAAAGAAGCATGATCATAGCCTGGTGCTAGAAAGATTTTGGGAAATTCACCAGAGAGGTGAATGTAAGTTGTTTTTCAAGTTAGGTAGCAAAGCAGCAACATATGGTGTTATGGAAGTGCCAAATGGATGTCAGAGACATAAAATGTGTAGCTTGAGAGGAGAGGTTACTATGACCTGGGAAGGTTAGGGAAGACTTCTTGGGAAAATGAAAATTGAGCAGGGTCTTAAGGATGATTAAGATTCTTATTAGTCTAACAGGGGAAAAGGGAACTGGGAAAGCTGCAGAGGGAGGAATGCAAAAGCCAGGTTTGGGAAGGTGTGAGTTAGACCTGTGAGGCTGGAGCAGAAGATTCATGTAGAAGAGTGGTAGAAGAGAATGGTGGTTGGAGAAAACTTGTGGAGAACCTCAAATCCTAAACTAAGGAGTTGAGTCTATATTGTAGGCAGAGGGGATCCAAAGAAGGTTTCTGAGTAGTATATAAATGGTTGGAAGGTGAGAGTTAAAAGTAGTGCCTTTGAATCCAAAGGGCCTACAGACAGAGGCTGAAAGCAGGAATATTTTAGTTATAAGGAAATAAAGGTCTTAACAAATGGGAATGGAGAAAAACAGATGCTATAGGAGGAACTGACAGTTCATGGGATCTTTGTGGTGATCCAGGGAGAGAGAAGAAGAAACACTGTGAGCCTGGGGACTGGGAGTATACTACTACTACTCACAGAAATAGGAGGCCAGGGGAAGGAGAAAAGGAGGTTGGTTGGAAAATAGATAGTAGCATTGTTAACAGTGCTCTATGGGGAAATTTGATATACAACTCACCTTCATGTCTTCAAAATCTGTTATCCCTATCTGAGGGAGGTTTGAGCAGTTTACATGGATGAGTTTTCGGCCACTGATGAAGTTTGTGGTAAAACACTCCTGTCAGTACAATGAGAACATCACTCAAAAGATGTACAACAAATGGAAAAAATGAAGGAAGGGATGAAGAAAGAGAGGGCAGGAGGGAGGGAAAGGGGGGGGGGACGGTAAAAGGAGAGAGAGAAATGGAGAAGGGAGAAAGGAAAAGTAGCAAGGTAGAAAGGGAGGAAAAAAGGAGAGAAGAAGGTAAGGAAGGGAGGGAATAAATCATGTTTGTCTCCCTTTATGTACTGAGAAAATTTTAAGTGTAAATTTAGTAATAATTCTAATAATCACACATATTTTTCATCTAAATTTTTGACAAAATTTCATATTGCCCCTTAATTTTTTTTGGGGGGGGGGGCCACGATACAACCTTTCATGCCTCAATTACATTGTTACAGGGTTACATAAGATTCCACATCTTGTTTTGTGGTAGCTCAAGAACATAGTTGGCATCAATGAAATGAGGACTCACACTATCTTTTAAATAAAACTAATTTTGATATGGATGAGGACAATGGGGGGTGGGGAGGGGACGGAGGGTGGGGTGGGAACCTGGTGGAAGGGGGAAGAAATGAGGAACCTTTGTAATAATATGAACAATAAAGATTGATTTAAAAAAAACTAATTTTGATTAATTGGCTATTTAAATTAGTACTGCTAGGTGCTCATGATATAGAATGTTAGGAATACTTAAGATTAATAATACAAGTTCAAGTTAGGGAGCTAAAATAACTTCACAAAGAACCAAAAAAGTCTACCTTGAATAAAGTCTATTAAAAAATACAATTTCCTATGAAAAGAGGCCTATATAAATTTCTTAGTCTTTATTCAAGGATTGCAGAGAAATAAACTGTGATAAATAAATAAAAAACACATATAAATGTGACTCTCACTTCCTGTCCCAAAATATACATCATTGGGAAGACCCAAATTAAAATCCAAGTTACCACTACCTTGGTCCAGGACATTTCTATAATCCTTCTAGTAAGGCAGAGGCAAGAGCTCGGGTAAAATAGAGGAATAAGAGGTAGACAGATGAGAATATGATTTCGAAAAATGTTATTTTTGTATACCTTGTATTGAGGGAAGCCTAACTCGCTAATCCACTCTGCAACTTTTTCTGGGCTCCAGTTAAGATGTTCAAATTGTAGCTCAGGCCTTTCATTTTTCTCGGCCAACTCTGGGGGCAAATCATCCTCTAACTCTGGGGGCAAATCTACAGCTTTTTCACTCCATGACTCTCTTAAATGCCTCAGAAACTCGGACTCATCTAAATCCTTACTGGTATCAGTATGCTCATACTGTATTGGGTGTTCTTTTGAAAAATCATCATCTATATTTATTGTCTCTACTTCTGTTACTATGAAAGAGCCTAGCTGTTTAGTAATTCTTTTAGTTCCCTTTACTAATGACTTTATTTTATAGTGGGGATCCAACAGCTTGTCTTCATCTACAAAATGCTTAAATTTGATTTGTTCTAGCCTATCTTCCTTGTTTAATTTTTCATGTGTCTCTCGTCCAAATAGTGGTTTTGCTTTATCTGGCAACTCTACATCTTTATCCTTAGTTGGCTCTTTTTGTGTCTTCTTTTGAATCTCTGATTTGCTCATTTTTAGTGACAAATGAGGACTTATTTTTAGTGACAACTGAGGACTTGATTTACTTTGGGTCCCTGGTTCTTCTAGAATCCATGATGAAGACTGTTCTGGAGGCTCTAGACCTTCCTTTTCAGTTGACTCTCTCAGTATATCATCTGATTCGGACTTCCTAGGTGGTGCTAGTCCTGTCTCAATTGATTTTCTTTGCTTATTTTTTATAACTGTTGGTTCAGTATCTTCTGGTGATTTTAGAACTTTCTCCATAGTTGAATTCCTTCTTGTCCTCTCTTGAATTTCTGGTTTGGTCTTTTCTGTTGACTCTAGACCTGTTTTCTCAATTAGTGTTCTTGATGTTTCCTCAGGAAACTCTGATTTTATCTCTTTTGGTGGCTCTGGAACCTCCCCCTCAATTAACTTTTTTTGTGTCTCCTTAGTAGACTCAATTGATTTCTCGCCTGGAAACTCTGGTTTAGTCTGCTCTGTCCCTTTTTCCTCAGGTGGTTTTCTTCCTATATCCTCTACAACCTCTGTCTTAGTCTCTTGTGGAAGTTCTAGACCTGCCTCCTCACCAGACTTTCTTGGTTTCTCCCTTGGAAACTCTAGTGTAGTTGGCTCAGATGGCTCTATCTCTTTCTCCTCTGGAACCTCTGGTTTGGCCTCTCCTGGAGGCTCCAGACCTGCCTCCTCAGTAGACTCTGTTGGTTTCTCTCCTGTAAACTCCAGTTTGGTCAGCTCAGATGGCTCTGTGCTTTTCTCCTCAGATAATTTTCTTTGTGTCTCTTCTGGAAATTCTGGAGCGGTCATCTCTGGTGACCGTAGATCTCTATCTTCAATTACTTTTCTTGGTTTCTTACTTGGAAATTCAGGTTTGATTTGTTCTGAAGGTTCTTCATTTTGCTCCTTAAGCAATTCCTCTGGAACCCCTACTTTGGTCTCCTCTAGTAAATCTAATCTTGTCTCATTGATTGTGGCTCTTGGAACCTCAGACTCGGTTTCCTTTGGGAGCTCTAGATTTGTTTCTTGAGCTGGCTCTTTGAATACACCTTCTGTAACTTCTGGTTTGGTCTCCTCTGGTGGCTTTAGGTCTGGCTCCTCCTGTTTTTCATCCATAGGGACCTCTAAATCCTTGAAAAGCTCTCTTCTCATCTCTCTGGATGTCTCCAATATTACCTCTTGGGAAATCCCTACCGCAGTCTCCTTTGAAAGATCTATCTCTGACTCCTTGCGAATCTCTTCCTCTCCTATCCTAGCTGGTTTTCGTTGTGGGTGTACATCCTCAGCACTTTCTGGCGTCTGGTCTTTCAAATTCTCTTCTTCCGCCTCTGGCTGCGGCTCTTGGTGAATCTCTCCAAGTGGCTTTGGGTGTGTCTCTGCCGGGATGACTGGTTCGGCATCTTCATCCGTTTTAGGAGGCTTAGGTTTTGCTGGTATCTCAGTCTCCAGGTCTTCATCTTCACCGGGTCCAGAATCATAATCTTCTGGGACTTGAGCCATGGCGCAGATTAGCCAACGCGCCCTGGCCTCCTAGCAACCCCGACTTCCGATAACGTCTCTATGGATACTACGATTTCCGGCCGGGTCTTCCTGAATCTTCTCCAGGTTTTGTTTGTCCTCACAGCCCTGGACTTAAAACAACAACAACAACAACAAACAAACAAAAAACCTGCCAAAAGCACGCAGTAATCCTCCCCGCGTCCGCGTTGCCAGCCCGCCCCTCCGGCCAGAGCTCCCACGACCGCTCGGGGCGGGCGAGCTGCCCCTTCCGGCCTCGGGCTCCGCTCGGCCTTTTCCGGCTCTTCCTGACCGCGGGGGCTCTGCCTTCGGCTGTTTCCGGAGCGTCCCGACCGCGGGGGCTCCGCCTTCGGCTCTTTCCGGAGCCACTCGGGGCGGCGGAGGCGCTGGCGGCGCGGCTGCAGATGTCGGATTCGCAGGCGGCTCTGGGGCCGGGCTTATGGGGCGCCGCAGCGGGTCGAGAGCCGGCGGCGGGCGGCTTCGGGGACGTCCCGGGAGAGGAGGGGAGCCCAGCGGCCGCCTCAGGTACGCAAGGCCCGGTTGCCGGCGGGTGGGCGCCGCCCCGGACGCAGGGCCCGCACCTCGGCTCCGGGCTCGGCCGCGCTCTGCTCAGCCCCGCCTGGGCACACAGCCCCTTCGCGCGCGGAGCCCCAGCCTTCCCTTCTGGTGGGGCCACGCTTTTTTTGGGGGGGGCCGCGACCACTGGTCCCGCCACCCTCTCCCCGGGCGGTGGTCTGCGCTCGAGGGTATTTTCTCCTCCTGTTTTGAAATGTCTCGGTTCCTGCCCCGCTTCCTGGGTGGTACTGACAGGGCTGCTCCGCCCTGCACCTCTCCAGCTCCTGCACACCCGCCCGGCACGCCTTGGCCGCCGACCCCAGCCCCACTGGCCTCGCTGCCCCCAGCCCTGGCTCCCCACCCGGCCCCACCGCTGCCCTGGACCCACCTTTCCCCGCGCCTCTCTGCCCGCACCCGGTGGGCAGCCTCGCTTTCCGTGCAGAATCGCACTTGGCTCCGAGGGTCTCTCCCTCTCCCTCCCGCCTTACCTCCACCCTCCGTCTCTAGTGGGAAAGTTGGAAGGAGAATTGGAATCGGTTATCCGTTAGCTCGGGTAGGGGGTGGGCGCCGGGGGTCTTTGGAATGAACGTAGGTGACCAGGAAATAGGCGCTGAAACTGGAGCTTTGGCGACCTCCCTCATTGTCCAGGGCCTTCCTCATCTTGTTCGGGGGACCTGTCTCTATTGCTACCCACCACGCAAGTTCCTCCGTGTGCATTCTTGGGAGTCCAAAGGCTAACCGGTCCATCTATCACATGTTTTTACCTGCCCGGCCTGTATGATCGCCACACAGCTCACAGCGAAAAGGATGTTCTTTTGAAATTACAGAAGGGTAGGGAGAGAGAACTGGTCTCCCTCAGTAGCAAGTAGACGTGAGCTTTCCAGGTCTGAAATGAAAACAGACACCTTCGTATAGCGGTACAGGGGGTGCCACTTTGCCTGGGCCGGAATCTGACTTTTCAGGTTGCTAATGAAGTGACCTTGAGTAAGTCACTTTTCTAAGTCTCCGTTTCCTCCTCTGCAAACTGTGGGTACCTCCTCGTAAGATGGCTGAGTTTCAGGAGCTACTTACCATGCAGGAGGCACTTGCTGCCTAGCCCAGGGCACCGCAGTTGTCTGTTATGATGAGGATAAGATCTGTTTTTGCTCATGTCAACGCCGTGGGCTGTCAGAAGTGTACCTGTCTGCCTGTGTCCCAGGATGGTGGCTTTTTCTGTCTTTCACTTCTACCCCCAACATCTCCCATCTCCTAAAGCTGCTTCGGTCAAACACACACCTATCTTTGAGTCACCTACCACCCCTCCTTGACTTTATGTTCTGTTCTCTTGTTTTTAAAGATGTAACAGTTTTTGTTTCGTGTTTCCTTCCCATGCCTTGCCTTGTAGTAAATTCACAGCTGATGGCATGTGTGTAACTTGATAGCAACAGAAATGGGAAGCACCATTTCTAAAAGATTAAGCAAAGAAACACCCAGAAAGTCTCATAAACATCTGTCCCTTGCATGTGTCAACATTTATAAAATAAGGATTTATTTGTTTTTTTACTTCCCCTTTACATCCTTGTGTGGTTATGGCAAACACACCCAAGCATTTAAAATAGAAAGTTGTTGGCTGCCAGAGTGGCTCAGTTGGTTGAGCATTGTCCTGTGCACCCAAGGGTTCAGTTCCTGGTCAGGGCACATACTTGGGTTGTGGTTGGATCCCTGGTCCGTGCATGTGTGAAGGGCAACTGATTGATTTTGATGTTCTTCTCTCTCCCTCTCTCTAAGCAGGTGAGGGTTAAACTAATTAAATGAAATAAACTAGAAAAGTCTTAAGAATAGTTCAGGGTCCTGGCCAGGTAGCTCAGTTGGTTAGAGTGTCCTTATTCACCAAGGTTGGATCTCCAATCAGGGCACATACAAGAAGCAACTAATTCTCTCTCTCTCTCTCTCTCTCTCTCTCTCTCTCTCTCTCTCTCTCTCTCTCTCAACTCCCCCCCCACCCCCAACCACCCAGTTTCCTTTCCTCTCTGACTTTAAAAAAAGAAAAAAGAATTGTTCAAGATATATTGGAGGATTATGGGTTTGTTTTTGAATGCCTTCCCACCCCGCCCTTACTCTTAATTGGTTCCTGCATTCACTTTTTCCTCCCAGGACACAGACAGAAATACTTAGGGTTACTTTCTCCCTCTTGCCTCAAAAAGCAGGGTGAATGTTGATTTCTTTTTATTTCATGTAGGGACTTGGTAATGTATCCTAGAGCAGTATTTTCCCCTTGGGGTATGATTTATTGCTAATAAAATAGCTAATAAAATAATAGTAATGATAGCTTATATTGCTTGCTTTGTGCCAGAATGTGGAAAAAGACTTACTTTTATTATCTGGCTTCCTGTCAGCAATCATTTTCTCCGAGAGATGAATTTATTGCCCAAGTTACCTGTGGAGTTTTGACTGACCATATGAAATTGCCACCTTGTTATGACAAAGTTTACCATAGCTTATTTTAATTTTTATTGGCCAAAAATCAAGTAGTAGTACTCCAGGGCAGGTATGGTGTTTGCTCTCAATGTGGTTTTAGTTTGGTAAGATGAGAATACCTACAGGAACAAAAAGCAAAAAATTCAAAACATGTAAGTGGATGTATTATTATTATAAGCTCTTGATGTACTTACCCCGCTTCTCCACCCCCCAAGAAACCTGTTTGAGAGACAGACTCCATCTTGTGTATCTCCTAGATCCCTTAGTGTTGTGTCCCAGAGGTTCTGTAAGTATTTGCTGGATTGTGAGACAAAGTCTCAACACAGGTTTGGAGGAGCATCAAGTGATTAGGAGGAATTAGGGTTAAGATAATCCAAGGACATTCGTTGGGTGAAAGCAGTGGCTCTCAGTCAGGAGTGCTTTTGCCTCCTCCAGGGGACTTTTTAGTTGTCACAACTCTAGGCTGGCAGGAGGAGGAGGGCTGTTGCTCAATTCTAGTGGGGTAGAGGCCAGAGATGCTGGCAAACATTTTCTGATGCCCAGGACCGCCCCAAAGCAGTTGTCTGGCTCCAAACATCAGTAGTGATACTATTGAAAAATCTTGAGTTAGAGTTAAGCTGGGTTTGCAAAGCAGTGTGGAAATTATGCATTTGGCTTGGCTCAGAGTTGCATAGGCCAGAGGTAACTCAATAAACTGCTTCGACATTAGAAATTTGATTGGATCCTTCTGCCAGCTTCCTTTGGAAAATGATCCAATGAGTAAGTAATGGAGACCTAGGAAGGGTCTTGGGTTCCATTCTTGGTCAAGGACACATACCTGGGGTGCAGGTTCGATTCTCGGCTCTGGTCTAGTGCACATGGGAGGCAACGGATGGATGTGTCTCTCTGAAATTGACCTCTCTCTCACTTTCTTTTTTCTTTTTCTTTTTTAAAAATATATATTTTATTGATTTTTTACAGAGAGGAAGGGAGAGGGATAAAGAGATAGAAACATCAATGAGAGAGAAACATCGACCAGCTGCCTCCTGAAAACCCCCTACCGGGGATGTGCCCGCAACTAATGTACATTCCCTTGACCGGAATCGAACCTGGGACCTTTCAGTCCACAGACCGACGCTTTATCCAGTGAGCCAAACCGGTTTCAGCTCTCTCACTTTCTTGTTCCCCTCTCCCCATGTTCTCTTCCTTCCACTCTCTCTAAAGAATCATTGGAGCCCTAACCGGCTTGGCTCCGTGGCCTGCGGACTGAAGGTCAAGGGCATGTACCTTGGTTGCGGGCACATAACCAGTAGGGGGTGTGCAGGAGGCAGCTGATCGATGTTTCTCTTTCATCTATGTTTCTAACTCTATCCCTCTCCCTTCCTCTCTGTAAAAAAATCAATAAAATATATATATAAAAAAAAATCAATGGAAAAATATCCTTGGATGAGGATTAACAACAACAAAAAGAGGTTGGACATTTCACTTTTTATTGAATTAAGGGTTTTGATTATTCCATGTACATTCCTTCAAAAGCAGGATTTGTAATCAGAATAACTTGTTTTTAAAAAATATTCTCAGCAGAGGATACCTTTTGAAGGTCTTCATGTTTGTTAGCGAAAGTTTTTGTGATAAAGAAGGAAACGTGTTTATGTTCTTCTGATCTAAGCTTTCCAGTGGTCACTGTTCTTATTGTCTATGAACTGTAATTTTCTCTTAAAAGTCTTATTTGGGGCACCTGGGTCCTTCAGTCCCCAAGAGGAGAAATATATCACTGAGGCATACATGTTGTATCACTTAGGGCAGGCATTTTTTTCTTTTTTCTTTCTTTCTTTCTTTCTTTCTTTCTTTCTTTCTTTCTTTCTTTCTTTCTTTCTTTCTTTCTTTCTTTTGTTTTGTTAACATTACAGAACTTTGGGAAAAATAAAGAGCAAAGTCTGTTATGATCCTAGAATCAACAGGAGACTTGGCTTGGTGTATATGACCTGAGAGCTATCAATGCATTTAGACCTTAAGGACTAGAAACAGGTCAGGTAAACTTGTTCATGGTTCAGTGCAATAAATCTTTCTTGCATAGACGTCTATGCCAAAGAGCCCTCTCTTACCGTTTTATGTCAAAATACCCTACCAATTTGTCTGCCTGTGGGTTATTATTATTTTTTCTTACAGCGGTTGTGTTTTTATGTTATTGAGCTAGCCAATAGTCCTGTCATAATTCAATCCATAATTAACCTAAAATATATAATCTGACCACTCACGAGCATGTCCCACCCATAAGGGCCAAAGAGAAATTGGATTACATGGTCTCTGGATTTGGTTGGAATATAAACTTAGCCAATTTCTTTTTGTTTGAGCCTCTCAAGTCTGTAACCACATAACCTGCTTTTGGCTGCTCTGCTTGTAAATGTAAAAGCCCAGGCTAATTATCTCTTTGCAGCCTGCTCAGTGAAAGGGAAGTCCTATGAGACCTGTCCTAAAGAACTCTCACCTGATACTCAAATACTTTAGAAAACCTACTTTTTGGTCCTCTTTGC